GGAGGGGGCAGAGGAGGGGGGAGGAGGAGGGGGAGGAGGAGGAGGAGGATGAGGAGGGGGAAGAGGAGGGAAACCTTTCACGAATTTAACTACACAGAGGACCAGTTTTTGTATTTTTGGCATGTCTTCCCACGCACGACCTCTCTTAACCTCTTGCCTGGATTACTGTGGCTGTGAACGCTCAGTGTCTCCCCACTCTAATCCATTACTGTTTCCCAAGGTATGACCCTCATCATGTCACTCTTCTGTTCCACTCATAAATCTCCAGAGGCACCTAGTTGTCTGCTGATTTAAATTTGTTCCCACTGATGAGACACCACGCCAAGTCCATCTTTGCTTTCCTGGTGTTTAACAGCCCCAGTGTGGGAGACAATACTGACCCATCACAGTAAGAAATGCTCACAAAAGCAGGAAGTTAGGGTTATAAACAATATCTATTTAGGTTGGCTTAAATTTATTAAACATTATCACTTCCATTATTTTTTTTCCTAATAAACAAAACAAAACTTCCAAATTGCTATCTTTTAGATTGTGTTTGGCAGATTTATTAGACTTGATTTTACTTATTTAAAAAGTTCCCCCCCATTTCAGTCACTGAGAGAATTGCTGTTTCTAGCTCAGTGTGTATTTTCTAATAACATAGCACAAGGCCTACAAGGTTAAGGATTTCCTTTCTTAAGCCCCTGGAGAGGACTGAACTCCTTCCCAGTACTGAAAAACTCTAATTCTCTTTGCCTAAAAAACGCTACTACTGCTAATCTGCCCCCACCCCAATTTTTAAAACTTAGTGTGGGGATTAAACTCAGGGCCTCAGGCAAGCTTGACAAGTATTCTACCAAGAGTTGTGTCCCTAGTTTCTGTTGAATCTTGACACTTTGATTCAATTGAAAATGAATTGGAGAGTTGGATCAGCAGTTAAAAGTGTGTGCTGCTCTTGCACAGGATCTGAGTTTGGTTCTTAGCACCCACATGAGGCAGATCAGAGGATCTGAAGTCCTCTTCTGGTCTCTGTAGGCATCTTCACATACTTGGTATGCATACAGATAAGCAGACACACACACACACATGCACAGAATAAAAGTAAATAAAATTTAAAGAAAAAAAAAAAGAATCAGTAACTGCTTACTGCATGTGTATAGGAAGTAGGTTCCTTCATGGGAGCTCTTAGAATTTGGGGGTCTTCCTGGGCAATGAATGTCATGTTTTCTGAGTCTTGGGGACTGATTATTCTTCTGAGCTACGTCCAGAGCTAGGCATGACTTTGCTTAGGTTGTGGCCTCCTAAGGGTTTGGGAGGATTTGCAGAAGAGGAACAGGAAGAGGAGGAAGAGGAGGAGCAGGGAGAAAAGGAGGAGGAGGGCAAGGAGGAGGAGGAGAGGGAGGAGGAGAAAGGAGGAGGAAGACAATTTGTCAAATTTTGTTTGGTGGCTTAAAACTTAATCTTGTGCTCACTGAGCATGGATCCCATGGATCTTGTGCTTGTAAAATTTTGTCTTCAGGTCTGTCTTGTCTTTTAGCAGCTCCCTGGCACAGAGCAAACAATTAATAAATGGTTACTATTATTAGGATTATGATGATATGGATGCTTCCACAAACACATTCTCTGCCTCTGTTTTTCTTCATCCTCTAGGCTGAGGCTCCCAGATGCCCACTGGATGCCACCACATTTGCCTTTGCCCATGCTATGGGCTCTGCCAGACATGCCTTTCCACCTTCTTCTCTAATTAAAATCCTATTAACACATTTCAGACCAGACTAATGCCTCACCTTCACATGAAACCCCTTTTGGAGCTGGTTGCCTCTTCCTCTCTGGTCTGCTTTGTTTCTCTGCCCCCACCCCCAAGCATGCTCTTAGTCCTCTCCTGAAGTAACTTTGGTTGTTTACATGTCTCAGACCCCTTTCTCAAATTTGATAGACTGTTTAAGGCACGCATGATGTCCACCATGGCTATTGTAGAACTGCTTTAACATGCATCAGATTCAGGCTGCAGTAGAGATCCCATAGCCACCCATTCTTTTGCTGTCTACTTGTTTGTGTTTTTTTCTTATTTTTTATTTGTCTATTTAATTTTCCAATGCTAAAGACTGACCTCTGAGTCTCATTTGCAAGGAAAGAAACTGACTTATATTCCTAGCCTTCCAAATGTGCTTTTGAAAAAAAAATACTATACATACATGCAACTTTTGTTTTTTTCCTCAACATGTATTAAAGAAACCTTTTATTTTAGTACATACTAACCAATATTTTTTAATAGTTATGATTAAATAGCTGATTTAGTTTCATAGCTAATTATAACCCATGAACTACAATACAACTAACCTCCAACTGTTAGATTTCAGATCACTTCTGATTTTTTTCCTTTGTCTTTAAATTTTTTTTTAAATTGAATTTTTGTGTATCTCATATATAACATCTTCATCATCTTTATACTCCCTTCCCCATTGGTATCCCCCATAACTTCTCTACTGGACTTCATGCATTATGTCATTTATGTTAAGGTCTATCAAGTCAAGTTATAATCCCCTGATGTCCTTCAGTACATGTTCATCCACTGGGGTTGATAGTCAGCCTATCTAGAATCACTCAAAGAAAGTCAGCTCTTCCTCACTCAGCAGTAATCAGCTGCTCAATAGTTCTTCGACTAAGATTGGGGCCTGCTGCCCATTTACATAGTTCTGTGCTTGCTGCGTTTTCATATGAGCAAGGTCCCAGGAGCCTGTAGGACTCTATTTCCATATAGTCATGCACCTCCTCCCCTGGCTCTTACAATCTTTCTGTCCCTTCTTCCACAATGGCCCTTGGGCCTGGGTTGGTGAAGTTTAATATCGAAGTCTTGTTCGAGGAGTCACACTCTGCAGGCTCTTATTCTCTACGCTACGGCCCTTTGTGTTCATTGCCCTCTATTGCATGAGGGAGCTTCATTGATGAGAGTTGAGAGATGCGTTAGTATTCTCTCTACCCCTTGTTTCACCAAGTTCTGTGAGCGTTAGGTGTAGTGGTTCCATTGTAGATGTGTTACTTCAGGTAGGACATTTCACAGACAGTTAATCTCTGTGTGTGACCAGCTGTGGGGCTTTTTAAAAGCCACCCATTCTTTACTGAGAACTAGAGAGCAAGTGCCATAGTCCTGGCCATGTGTACAGAGGCCGCTTTGCTACTGAGCTGTCAAGTTCCAGCTTTCATTGTGGACCGGGGCTCTAGGTGCACAGCTGACTTGCGTGGGACTCTAGAAAGCTGCGCTGCTTGTATTTTCAGAGAACTCCAGGATTCATAATGCTAATTTATTAGAAAATCAGCTTACTGTCAAAAGTTAGAGGTCCACCTTGGCTTTTGGGGCCCTTCAAGCTGCAAAAATGAAATAAAGAGAAGAAAATGATTCTTACTCAGGCGATTAGCCTATACTTTTGTGTGACAGGAATCATGAAGCAATAGACTGTCCAGTGCCTCAGTGCCTTAGTTTCCTTATCTGTCATGTAGAAAGGTTCTCATGAAGATTAAGTGAGTTTATGCATCTAAAGTGCTCTTTTAGGGCCGGGTGTTTTGGCACATGCCCTTAATCTCAGCACTTGGGAGGCAGAGGTGGGTGGATCTCTTTGAGTTCTAGGCCAGCTGGGGCTACAGGAAGACCCTGCCTCAAAAGACAAAAAGTGCTCTCTTCATACATATAATTTATTATTATTATATATTCTCAAAGTTTTTATTGTTATTGACACACTGACTTAGCATGGTCCAGTAAATAATTTTGACCATGTTGCTGGTACTATGGAATTATAACCATCAGTTCATTCAAGCTACTTTTCATCCTGGAGAGATACAAGAAATATCAATAACCTCAAGCTTTTAACAGCACTAACTTAACATGCAAGTAATTAGTTGTCATGCTTTACTGTAACCTGGCATTCCATGTCTACATAGCATTAGGTTTATTCTACCTTGCTAACAACTTGGTTGCTCTGCATAATTGACTGTAGGTATTAAAAACAGATATGAATGGAAAGGAACAAAACTTTACTTTTGCTCCCACAGTGCCGCAGTTCTGAGGGGCTGAAAATTGCAGTTACATGGTTGTTAGAAGGCAATGACATCAACAGAGCTTGTCTTTCTCTCTCACATTTCAAAAGAGCATGTGTCCAAAGAGGCTTCTTCTCCTTTAATGATTTTGGCATTGTCACATTATAACCAAGTGCAAAACTATGACAATACCTCCCACCCCAGCTGCCAAAAGTATCACATAGGGACACATTGCAGTGGAAAAGAGAGAATGGGCTCTTTATGGTGACTGGCTTGGAATTATAAATATTTTCATTTCTACCGTAGGAGATGGCTCGTGGAAGAGAGGAGACAAACACGACTTTGAAGCTAAGCAAGCGTACTCATCCCTTCAAACAGTCACTCTACTGAGGACCGTGAAACCTGAGTTTGAGAAGTTTTCCATGGAGGTGAAAAGTTCTGTTGAGAAACAAGGGCTCAATGAGGAGGATTACGTAAGTGCTTGATTATGAGCCTAGCCGTCAGTATCCTGAAAACAGCCTTCTAATTAAATCAGAGGTGACAAAGTGTCCCATTCTGAACCATTCAAAAATTCCGAGTTCAGGTCTGAATGTCACTGTTGCCTTCTGTGTGTTTTTTTCCTGGCCACTTTTCCTTCTTCCCTCCCCCACCATCCCTTCATCATCCTGGCCCTTCACTTACACTTCACCTTTTCAACGGTTTCAGGAAAGAAAATCAGCTTTTTGTGGAGACTTGTAACTCTGAGCAGGATGTCTGTAGACTTCGATCACCTATTCAGCTAGGAGGGTGTTGGGAGAAAGGCAGTTGAAGGAATGCCCAAATTTTGCATGGCTAATTTCTCCAAAGTTTGGTGGCAGAAGATATTTTGGGTTTAGAAGACTCTTTCTTTTGACAATCTGTGTCCACTTCATGATTGGTCTACTCCTGTCTCTTGTAGGCAGTGTATTTTCTCTTTTACTACAAGCAGCTTCCTATTTGGATGTTCCAGGTCTTCCCCTTCCAATAGTACTCTTGTTACTAGTGCATTTCAAAGACTGGGCTAGAGGCAGAAGTTCAGCCTGGGTTACAGATTAAGTAGCTTCCTGGGCTTCATTGATTGGACAGGCTTTGGCACATTTTGCTATGTGTCTGAGATGTTCACAGTGTCATAATGGCAAACCTTTTCTCAGAGCAGGATGAGTCAGTAGGCTGGGGTCGCTGTGCTGGTCTGTCTTCCCTTCCTTGCTGCCTTCCATTCTTCCTTCCTGTGCAGACGATGGAACCTAGCACATGCTAGGCAAGCACTCTAAGTCTGAGCTACACTTCTGGCTCCAGTGTGCTGTTTTTCAGAACTGTTGATGATACCATCCAAAGCAGAAGAGGAGTCTCTTTAATGATAGGTGTATGGCTTCGAGAGCTCCTACCCAGGGTGAACAGTGACCAAATTCACAAGAGTTGCTCACTTCCAAACAGGACCTCTCCAATGGTTGTCATTGAAGTTCCATAAGGTGCTGGCATTAGCCTCAGGCAGACCCACTTCAGAGCTGTATGATTTCAGTCAGCCTCCCCAGTTTTTCTGATTTGAGTGACTCCTGTGTGTGGGAGGATTACAGATAATTTATCTGATGCATTTTAAGACTGTTCCTGTCCTAAAGTTGGAACTTAATAAATGGTGTTTCATTATACCTGTATTTATAGGAATTTTCTATCAAATAACAAAGGTTCTTATAAATTTATTTATTTATAATTAAACATATACTATGCACACTTTATTTAAAGTATCTTTTGTCTTGCTAAATTAGTGTTGTCTAACAAGGGTGAACCACAAATGCAAAACACATGCGATTTAAACATTTAAAAAAGAAAAACCCAGGTAAAATTAATTTTAAAAGTACGATTTCATTCTTCAATCAATGTAAAAATTATCAATGAGATTTGTTGTTCCTTCTAAGGATCATCTCTCAAATCCAGGTTACATTTGACACAGCATATCAAGCCCTCGTTCATGGATGCAATGGCTTTATGTGAGTAGCCATTTTCCTATTAGAAAGTATGCTCTGAATTATGAAGAAGTAGGAGCTGTGCAACAGAGCCCAGGTTTAAGGAAGTCTGTGATAATATTGTCATCAACTACACCATTACCTAAAGAGTATGAAGAATGCACACAAAAAGAAGGAGAAGGACAGAAAAGGTACTGAGCTGCCCAAGCTGGACTGTGCCACTACTGAAAATACCAAAACATTTTACATAATGCCTGTCTATATTATTTTACCTTATTAGGTCCATATTGACATGATGATTTCAAAACTCAGCAATGGTATCACTTTGTCTGGCTTCCTCCCTGAAGTTGCTGAAGCTCAATTACTTCATCATATGTTTTCCAGCATAATGAGACACTGGAAAACAGCTGAAGTCTCAACACACTTCTTGGACATTCTCAGTTATCAATTAGTCTCTGTTCAGAAAATTAAATCTCATCTTAATGGTAGTCTAACTATTGAGATAGCATTGTTACCACAAAGATCCATAATACATTCCCAACCAAATTCTAGTACTTTTGAGAGTATTTGTACCCGTGGGTTATAGTACTGCCTCTCCATGCTGGTGGGGCCATGAAAATTGACTTTTTAAGTAAATAAAAATAATGCTTTTAAGTAGAAACTGGAACTAATTATAATAGCTTATTCCAATTTTGAAGATATATTTCTTTTATTTTTTAGTTCTCAGAGTCAAACCCAGGGCTCTGTGCATATTAGGCAAATGTTCTACCGTCCAGACCTTGTATTTTTCCTTTTCATGTGCTTTTGAGTGTCACTTGGAGATGCTTATCACGTCGGTCTAGATGTGTGGCTATGGTGAGTGTTGTGGGAGATAGCAGCAGGCTAGAGTGACGAGCCTGGGCCACATGCAAATTAGACCTGGCCTCATGCAGTGGGGGAGATGCTTCATCAGTCTGAAGGCTTCATACAGGCTCAGGTTTTCTCTAGGTCTTTTAGCTTCTCATGTTTGTATTCAAGAGCTATCCCATCTACTTGGGTAGAGCTTTAATTCATAGAGCCTAGCATGGCCTCAGTGCCTCTGTCTTTATCTCATACCTGGCAACTTTGGTGGACTCTCATTAGTTCTAAAATATACTATGCATTTTCTAGACAATCACATGACCTGTGAATAGTGCCTGTTTTGTTTCTTTTTAATGCTTCTACTTCTTAATGCTTATGCTTAATGCTGTCTTCAGTGTTTAATTAATAGTTTAATTTAAAGCATATTTAACTAAATTTAAGTATTAAATTAGCTCTATTGAATACAATTTAAATATACTTAATTGAATTAATACTTTTTTTTGGTCTTTTTGAGACAGGGTCTCCCTGTAGCCCCAGCTGTCCTGGAACTCACTATGTAGACCAGGCTGGCCTTGAACTCACAGAAATCTGCCTGCCTCTGCCTCCTGAGTGCTGGGATTAAAGGTGCGTGCCACCACGCTCGGCTCGAATTAATAGTTTTATGGCACTGCCTGGGATCCCAATATGGAAATGAATTATCTGAACTTTAAAATGAAAAGGATAGAACAGATTTACTGTTTGTATTACTATACACAGTATCATTTTGTCTGGCTGATTCATGAAGCATGGCATTTATTGTGGGTGTTTGAGAGTCTATCAGATTGAGAGCTTTCCTTTTATTTTTCTTGGTGAAGGTTTTCTGCTTTTCTTTTTTAAAAAAGTATTTTATTTATATTTTTATTTTATGTTTATGCATGTATTGCCTGCATGTATGTAACTGTACCCACGTCGTGCAATGCCCATGGAGGACAGAAGAGGCTGTCTGATCCCCTGGAACTGGAGCTACGGACAGTTGTTAGCTGCCATGTGGGTGCTGGGATTTGAACCCGGGTCTTCTGCAAGAACAGGCAGTGTTTTTAACCACTGAGCCATCTCTCCAGCCCTGATTTTCATATGTGTTCATTTGTGTGTGCATATGTGTGCTTGCATGTGTATATTTCTGTGTGGAGGCCAGAGTTCAACTTCAGGTGTGTTCCTCAATCACTTTCCAGCTTATTGTTTTGAGACAGTGTCTCTCACTGAACCTGAAGCTTGTGAATTCAGCTAGACTGCCTGGCCAGCGAACTCCAGGAGTTCTCCTGTCTCTGCCTCCCCTTCACTGGGATTAAAGGTGTGTGCCACTGTGACTGGCTCTTTAGATGGGTACTGGGGATTGAACTCTGATCCTCACGCTTTTGAGGCAAGCACTTTACCCGCTGAGTCATCTCTCTAGCTTTGATTAATACAGTTTTATTTCTGTAAAATTAATCCCTATCTCCATGTCTTGCCTTCTCTTTTAAAAAATACTGGCAGATTCATTGATAAAATGGGGTTGGGAAAAGAATAATTCTTTGGTGAGGATATGGCCGCTGACAGTTTTCTCACACTCCAGTGGATGCACCAGGTTTTGCCCATTTTGGAAGATTATGTATAAGACCACAGCCAAGTTATTGACATTGATATAATGCTCTCAATGCATTATAGATTTCTTGTTTTAATTATGCTACTGTTTATGTGGTAAGCTCTATGCAGTTTTATCACCTGTGTAGATTTTGATGTTGAATTCTACCCATGCCTTTCTATGTCAGATTTTTTTGAGACAGAGTGTCATGTAACCCAGACTAGGCTTGAACTCACTATGTAGCTAAAGATGGCCTTGAACTCCTGATATAAGCCTCTTCTACCACTCAAGTGGTAGGATTACAGGTCAGACCACCATATCTGGCTCTATGTCAGCTGTGACAATCACATTCTTCATTCTGCTGTAAGGTTACATATTAGCTACTTTCCTCATTGCTATAAGAAAATATCTGACAAAAGCAACTGAGGGAAGAAGGCTTTACTTGGTTTACAACTTGATGGTAGTCTGTCATAGTGGAGAGGCAACATTGTATTCAGTCAGGAAGCAGAGAGAGATGAATTCCAGTAGCAGTTTGCTCTTTTCTTTTTATATAACCTGGAGACCCTAGTGCATGGTCGTGCTGTCCACATTAAGGATGTTTTTTTTTCACCTTGATTAACTCAATTTAGAGAATAACCCCCTTGCAGATATATCCAAAGGCTTGTCTCCTAAGTGGTACTAGATCCTCTTGACAGTCAAATTAGCCAGATTATAATATAGAGAGTCATATTACTAGATTTTTCTTAGTTTAAATATCTCTGTACTCCTAGAATAACTCCAGCTCCCCCACTCCACTCTCCTGGCTCATACTTTGGAGAATATAATTATAGTTAAACCTACATCTACTTGCTTAGATGGAACTTTTCAGGCCAACATTGAAAAAAACCTGAAACCTATGGGTCTAAGCGTTTCAGGCAAAGGATGCTCAACCTGTATCATGCTTCCTAGTTTTGTTGTTATTGAATTGGAAAGACATAAATTCCAACCTCTTCTCATTCCAGTAGTAAGAATTCAGGCTCCGAAGTTCGGTAGCCTTTCCAGCTGTGTATCTCAG